TTGCATGCTGACATTTCCTATGATTCAGCTCTGCCGTCCTACTCGGCTCTTTACGAAATTAAACCACATTTTAGAAAAGGAAACAATATCAGACTGATAATTTCTGTTTAAAATCAGATAATTTAAAACAAAGGTGAAAACCAGTGGAATGACATAGATTTTTATCTCATCTGCTAGTCACAGAAATGTTGAGTGTGAAAAACTTTGAATTCCAAATTCCAAAAACAAAACTTTCTTTGCTGGCTCTGGAGGTTTATCATATTGTTTCACAACCTACATGCCCACGCCTCCACTCACATGGCGTCTGCTTCCTCTTCCTCCTCCAGCCCATGCCATGAACCTGAAGGCATGCAACAGGGAGTGTATCTAGGGAAGAGAAGAGCCCAGGAGCCCTTCCCAGCACAGACACTTCTGAAACTCCCCAAACACCGCTTCACCAAAATTCTCTCAGGTTGCTCTGAGCTGAGCATGAGAGGAAGAAACCAGGCAGGATGTCAGCCTCACTTATGTTCTCAGAATTGCTACTTGGCCACAGTTTTCTCTGGCTTGAACCACAGCAGTGGGCAGAGTGGAAAGTGTATGAAAAGAAAGCGCAACTGATGGTCTTAAAGAAGTCCAGAGAGTGAAAGCGAGATGCATCTGTGGGAGACTTCAGCTCTCGCTAAAGCCACACGGATCTAGCTAAGCTGCCTGGCCCAGGGTACCAGTTCCTACCCTCCTATCCAGATTTTGGGGGATTCTTGGAGCATCAATATTTTCCCTTCATACTTCATTAGCTTTCTATTGCATTTTGCACCTTAATTCTTAAGAAGTCACTTGCCTTGTTAAATGTGAGTATTCCCCAAGGCCAATCCTAAGTCTCTGTCCTTCTGGGATGCCTCTCAACCAAGTTTTAGAGTTAGAACACTACTGTGGTTGAACATGAACCATGAGTTTAGCCAGCTCTGACTTCCAGTATGGGGCCTGCCAATTACCAGCTTTATGACCTTGAGCAAGTAATCATCTTGCTTCATGTCATCCTCTTCTTTAATTTCTCTGTGAGAACAACTCTCTAATCTGTTTTCATTTTCTCCCTCAAATATAGCCACTGCCTGCTAAACATTTCCACTTGCATGTTCCTTTATTGCCTCAAATATGACAAATGAAAACCATTATCTTCTCTTCTCCATCCCCCAAAAATCCTTCGTATTCTTTCTTTCCACTAAGACAACCATCAGGTTTTGTTCTGTTTTGTTTTTGAGATGGGGTTTCACTCTGTTGCCCAGGTTGGATTGCAGTGGTGTGATCACTGCTCACTGCAGCCTCTGCCTCCCCAGGCTCAGGTGACTCTACTACCTCAGCCTCCTGAGTAGCTGGGACTACAGGTACATGCCACCATGTCCAGTTAATTTTGTATTTTTTTGTAGAGATAGGATTTCACCATGTTGCCCAGGCTGGTCTCTAACTCCTGGGCTCAGGCAATCTGCCCATCTTAGCCTTCCAAAGAGCTGGGAATTACAGGTGTCAGCCATCATGCCCAGATGGTAGTGCTTTTGAGAATCACCTTTAACCTCCTATATTAAATCGGAACCAAAGTCCTGTTGATTTTTCTTCTAAAAACTCTCTGCAATCCCGCTCTGCCTTTCTCGAAAGTTGTCAGTTCAGATCACCGTATTCCGTACATGTATATTCTTTTCAAACTAGGCTTCATGCCAAAACCAGAAAAACTGTTTCTGAAATCACTTTGATCAAAATACCCCAACACCTTCACCTCTCCCACCACTGAAAAATTACTAACAAGCTCCCAACCAGGGAAAAGTCACTCTCCTCGCCTTGAGTACTCAAGGATCTTCATAAATCAGGTTCAGCATCTTACAGCATCATCTCCCTGGGCTCCCACCTGAGGCCTCTTCCCATCAAACCATTTCACTCAACGTGTAGTCACTCGTTTATCAAATATGTCTGGATACCCACTTTGAGCCAGGTGTGACGGATACAGTGGGTGAATAAACAGACACAGCCTCTTCCTAGTAGAAAAGCAGACAGGCTTTAGACCACTAAACATATACATAGGATGGGCGTGGTGGCTTATGCCTGTAATCCCAGCATTCTGGAAGGCCGAGGCAGGCATATATTACTTGAGGTTAGGAGTTTGAGACCAGCCTGGCCAACATGGTAAAGCCCCCATCTCTACTAAAAATTGAAAAACTTATTCTTGTGTGGTGGTGGGCGCCTATTGTCTCAGCTACTTGGGAGGCTGAGACATGAGAATTGTTTGAACCTGGGAGGTAGAGGTTGCAGTGAACCAAGATCGCACCACTGCACTCCAGCCTGGGTAACAATGAGAATTTCTTTCAAGAAAAAAGAAAAAACACATACATATGGACAAATTCTGAACTTCGGTTAAACACAAGAGATGGGTCACAAGCATTTATATCTTGTTCTTCTCCTGATAAAATGAACGAAAAAATTATTTTAAGTTGATTATTTTATTTAAAATGAACAACAAATTTTAATCAAATTTTGAAAGATGGGGGAATACATGCATGAGTAATAATCAACTTTATTGAAAAGTAGAGAAAAGTTCAAGTTATCAAGCCTGGAGGGGAGAATGTCGAACATAATCATTCTCTTGCACCCTACATATACCTGCAAGGTGTGTCTCTTGGAGACCTGACGCCCACAGAGGCAAGGAGCCAGACATGAGGCTGCACCTCTGAACTCAGAAAGAGTTAAATTTGTAGACTCCCTCCCTTGACCCCACAGAGCCTGATGGCCATCCCGCAGACAGAAGATAGGAGAGCTAGCATCTGGAGAAATTGTCTGAAGAAATTCCAGGCTCATGTACATCAGACACAGACTGGGATACAAGTGAGATGTGAGATTAAAAATGATTACACCAGAGTACATCATCAGGCATTTCAGAACTCCAGGGATAAAGACTTGTTCCTAAAACCACTCAGACAAAGGATTGGGGGTAAGGAGAGGAGAAGATCAGGATCATACACAAACAGGAATCAGAATGGCAATGAGGCTTCTACCAGAAATGCTAGAAGTCAGAAAATAACTGAAGAAAGCCTTCAAAAGGCTGATAAAATATTTTATCTAGAATACACTATTTAGCTAAGCTATGGAAAAGCATAAAAGGAACATGTAGACATTTCCAGACATAGAAAGACTTGGAAATTTTACCTCCCATTCACACCCTCTTTTTTAGGAAGTTACTTGAGAATATCCTCCAGCTAAACCAAGGAAGGAAACAAGAAAGACGAAGTGCAGAGGCCCAAGAAACAAGGGGTCTAAAACAGGAAAGCAGTCGGGGGAAGTTGCAGGACGCCAGTGGGGTAGGACACAAAGAGATCAAGCAGGACAGACAGAGCAACTCAGGCGAGGGCTCCAGGACAGGGCTTTGGGAAAGTAAAACATTACAGAAACCAATAATCATCCTGATTAAGGGTTGGCAAACTGCAGTCCGCAGACTGAATCCTGTCTACCACCGGTTTTTGTAAATAAAGGTTTTTTGGAACATGACCAGCCGCCCCCATTCATTTACATATTGTCGGCTGCTCAGTTGCATACTGCCCATGACTTTAACAGCTGAATTGAGTAGTTGCAACACAGACTGTCTGCACCAAAAGGTCTAAAAAGATTTACTATACGATCTTTTATAGAAAGAGTTTGCTAACAACTGATTAAAAAAAAAAACTAATTAGTGATCTGATGGAACGGGTGAGAAAAAAGATAAGAATAAATGTAGAATAACACCAACTGGAGGTGAACAGGCAATTATTAACTCAGGAAGTATCAAGTAGGACAATAAAAAATATGATCCTAGTATACTACTTGGACTCACAAGGAATTTTTACATAAGCATAAAAACATAAACACTGATTCTGATTTATCCAAAAATTATGATACAAATATTAAAGCAAGAGGAAAAAATGAAGAGGTATAAAAGATCTAAATTTTTTTTATAGCAGGAAACTAGAAGTCTAATATTAATCGATATATAACAATATAATCATATTTGCTAGAAATACTGAGGCATAGATTAGAAGAGGTAGCTAAAATGGTTCCAAGTGATTTCTCTGGAGAGCAAAACCAAGTGTCGTAGAGACTGGTAGGCAGAGCACTGCTGTTTTCCTTCAGCGTGTTTTTTTAACTTGATAAACCTTCAGCGTGTTTTTTTAACTTGATAAAGTGGCAATTAATTTCCAAAAATACTCATTTTCAAAAATTATAAAATATAATAGGTATTATGAAGCCCCGAAACATGGTACCATGAGAGAGAATAACGGAGGTAAATAAACTACAAGCTTACTTTAGTCTGCAGAGAAGACAGTTCTAAGAAGATGGCATTTAAACTGAAAACCTGAAAGCTAGCCAGCCAGCCCATTTGGGGGAAGGAGTCTCCAGGTAGAAGGACGAGCATGTGCAAAGGCCTGGGTCTGAGAGCAAGCTCCATCATGGTTTAAAGGATCTGAGGTGATTAGGATCAGCTGAAGGGGAAAGTGTGCCTGTAGAAGCCGTCAGGAACAAACTTGCAAAGATAGCAGGAAAGAGACCATAAAGCATTTGTACCCCATCCAAAAAGCAATGCTGAGTCACTGGACATGCCATAAACAGATGCACAAGAATGTGTTGCAAGACAGAGACCAACATTTGGAATATGTTTCTTCCTTTTAAGATTTTTGCCTAAAAACAGATCCAAATCCATAACCTAACAAGTTACTGTACTTGGGAGGTCCCCTTGCTGGCTTTGGAAGTGGCCGTGTACTACTCAGGGAGTGCCTGTTCTAATCAACTATGTGACAACTTCTTCTCGACTAAACTCCTACTTTGCTCCTTATGCATATCTACTACTTTCCCTTAATCATGCCTGGAATTTTCGATGCAAGATTTCCCACCATCTCTCCTTGGGCTCCTATGGGCGTCTCTTTGACTAAATCCAAAGTCTTGGCCTTGCCTATCACTGCTGGCTTCCTAAATGTCCTCTTTATCCACTCCTCATTCTGTTTCAGATGTCTCAATACAGATGAGTCTCTCAAGGAGGGACCCAAGAGATAGTCTCTCCCTACCTCCATGAAGAAAATGGACCCCAGGAAGAGCAGCAAGCTAAGAGCAGAATCAGGATCAATGCAGGCTGCATTGCGTTGCTTGTGAGGAGCCCCCTTCAAGACTGCAGAAAGGAAGCCATCACATGCCCTTGGCCAGAAGCCTGGCATCCTGAAATTTCAAGAGGTAGAGTTCCTTTTTTATTTTTTTCTATTAATGTATGATTTTCCTCTATTTAGTGATTAATATTTGAGAAAATGTGTTCTAATTATGTTTTGCAATCCATGCCCTTGGGTTAAAGTGTACCCAGATGTAATTATTCTTGTGAAATAGCGCTTGAGTCTCTGCATATTAACTCTTGCTTCCTTTAAAAGCAGCAGGATGCCTTCACATCATTGCGGTTGGCATTTTCTTGTCAGAATTACTAAGGATTAATTACAAATTATTTGTATTGCACTGAGAGTAGGCAGCACTGAATCAATAATATGTCATAAACATTAATGTAGTCAGTACTTTTCAGTCATTTTGGTCTCAAAACTCCTCAGCCTTTTAAAAATTAAGGACTCCAAAAACCTTGTGTGCATGTGGCTTTATCTATGAATATTATTAGAAATAAGAATTGAGAAACTTTAAAATCTGTACTTATTTATTTTAAAATAATAATCCCATTACAGTGGAATTAATGGATTATTGTTATTTTAAAATAAATTAATAAGTAAAGAGTTACCAAAATAGTGTAACATACTTTATAAAAAAAATAACTTTTAAAAGTGCTAAGAACAGCATTGGTTTTATAGTTTTGTAAATCTCTATTGTGTCTGGCTTAAGATGAGAGAGCTGGATTCTCACACCTCCTTCTTCCTTGAGTCTGTTGCAAATATTATACATCATGCAACCTCAGAAAACCTCCACTCACACACATGAAAGAATGAATCTGAAAAAGAACCATTACATGTTGGTACTGCTATGAAAATAGTTTTGTCCTCATAAGCTCGCTAAAAGGGTTTCAGGGATATTTAAGGGTCTCTGGACCACGTTTTGAGAACCACTGGCTTAGTTAAAATAATAAAGCCAAATTAATTTATGTATTCAAACATTATATTTCCACATGTGTGTTTCCATTTAATCCTCCCAACAAGCCAAGGAGTAGATATGTTATATCCCATTACATATGAGAAAGTGTTCACTAGTAAGTTAGTGAAGTGGCTCTTAAACATTTGAATCCATAAGCCAGGATCTGGGTGTGGAACTTTTTGTGTGACATCCAGCGGCCAAAGTGATATCATTCAAAGATGACAGACTTACCTTAGTATTTCACTCTGTCCTTGAATATCCATTGTAGGCAATTCATTTGGATTCACCATCCAATAGCTTATCTCAATTCTATTTCATCTTCCTATAGTGTAGATGCCTAGTTTATGATGCAGGATGTCTTATTTTGGTGTTTCTATTCCTTATTTTACCACTTTTAGGAAAGGTGATGTCGTAAACCTGCCATCTGCTGAGCAATATATTAATCATGGCAATAATCCACTGAGCAAATACCAGTTTGCAGGCTGCTGAGTGTTGGAGTTGAGGAGGAAAAGGGTGACTGTGGAAAAAGCAATCAGTGTGGTATAAAGAGACCGAGGTTGTACAATAAAATAGAATTAGCGGCCAGGCGCGGTGGCTCAAGCCTGTAATCCCAGCACTTTGGGAGGCCGAGGCGGGTGGATCATGAGGTCAACAGATCGAGACCATCCTGGTCAACATAGTGAAACCCCGTCTCTACTAATAATTACAAAAAAAAAAAATTAGCTGGGCATGGTGGCGCGTGCCTGTAATCCCAGCTACTCAGGAGGCTAAGGCAGGAGAATTGCCTGAACCCAGAGGGCGGAGGTTGCGGTGAGCCGAGATTGCACCATTGCACTCCAGCCTGGGTAACAAGAGCGAAACTCCGTCTCAAAAAAAAAAAATAGAATTAGCTTCCAATCAACTTATTCTACTTACTGTATGACTTGGGAAAGTCAACAGACTCCATGAGCCTCAGTATGCTTATCAATACAAAGATAACAATACCAGTCTCCCAGGGCTGTTGGGAAGTTCCTATAAAATAATGCATACTAGCTCCTAGGGCTTCTGATTAAAAATAATAATAATAAATAAAAATATAATAATAATAATGCGTGGAAGGTGCCTACCACCGTGCCTGATACATAGTGAGAGCTCTATTGACAGTTGCTGTGAAAAAGCAGATGATAGTAATGATGATGAAACAACACTTCTGACATTGGCACAGTCAGGTTGATTCAAGGACCCAGAGAGGGTCCAGAATCACAGCCAGAAACTACAGCTTCTCCTTTCCTTCTCTGTATTCCAGCCACAAGAGCCACCTTTCAGACCCTCAATCATGCCAGGCTCCTTCCAGCCTCAGGGTTTTTCTAAATGCTATTCCCTCCGACTGAAAGCACCTGAAACCCTCCATACTCACAGTCACCCAGCTGTTGGCCCTTCAGAGCTCATAAAAATCACCTCCTCTGAGACGCCTACCAGGACTACCTAGATTAGTCATGCCCCATCTCCCTCGATAGGCTTACAGAAAACCTGGTGTTTCTTCATAATATTATCAGTTAATGAGGCAATTGTATAATTACTCGTTTAATATCTGCTTTCTCCTTTCTCTCTAGTTTCTATCTAGTAGCAAAGGAAAAGAATGTGATAACAGCCCCTGATGCTGCCACCTCTACTTCATGCCACATATGTTAACTTTGCTCCTTTTGGACTTGCTGAAAGTACAGGTCCCAGGCATAAAATTTCCAAATAACAAACAGCCCAAAGTCTTTTAAGGATAATAATAAGAGCTGCTACTTTTTGAGATGTTCCTCTGCGCTAATCATTGTGTACACATTACCTGTTTGATTTTCTCAGGACGAAAACTTGCAAATGAAGTAACAGATTCAGAAAGGTGAAGAAATTTGCCGAAGGTCAAAGTCGGCAAAGAGCAAAATTCAAATCTAGGTCAGTAGACTGACCATTCTGGCTTGCCCAAGACTGAAAGTTCACAATTGCAGAAACTCCTCAGCTCTGAGCAAATCAGAATAGTTGGCCACCTTACTAACCTACTTAGCTTCCTGCCTCTAGGAAGTCACATAATCTTCCCAAGTTCAGGCTTCTTCATCTGTCAAATGGCAATAACAGCCTACCTGTAGAATGGCTTCAAGTCACAAATGGAATGATGTATTTAATAATTAAGGGCTGGGCACACCTGTAATCCCAGCACTTTGTGGGGGCCGAGGCAGGCAGATCACCTGAGGTCAGGAGTTCAAGACCAGCCTGGTTAACATGGGGAAACCCCGTCTCTACTAAAAATACCAAAATTAGCCAGGCGTGGTGGTGGGTGCTTGTAATCCCAGCTACTTGGGAGGATGAGGCAGGAGAATCGCTTGAATCTGGAGGGTGAAGCTTGCAGTGAGCTGAGATTGCGCCACTGTGCTCCAGCCAGGGTGAGAAAGCAAGACTTCATCTCAAAAAAAAAAAAAAAAATAGTAATAAAGGCACTTAGTAAACATTTATTAAATAACAGATTAGGCTTTCAAAAAATGTTTACTGAATGAATTGACAAAAGAAATATATAGGAGGTGTGTTGATAAATTTAAAGAAGCATTTAGAGAAGGGAGACTGTTGTGAAGAGAGAACATAAGAAATGGCTTCAAGAAGTGACTTCAGAATGATTTTGGAGTCTGGCCTTATAGAAAATACAGTAAGGCCAGGAGCAGTGGCTCACACTGGTAATCCCAGCACTTGGAGGCCAAGGTGGGCAGATCACCTGAGGCCAGGAGTTTGAGAACAGCCTGGCCAACATGGTGAAACCCTATCTCTACTAAAAATACAAAAATTAGCCAGGTGTGATGGTGGTTCCCTGTAATCCCAGCTACTTGGGAAGCTGAGGCAGGAGAATCACTTGAACCTGGGAGGTGGAAGTTGCAGTAAGCTGAGATCCCCACCACTGCACTTCAGCCTGGGCAATAGAGCAAGACTCCATCTCAAAAAGAAAAGAAAATATAGTAATTATGTGTGCAGGCTTAAGATAGGAAGGCTTATGAAAAAGATCCAAAATGAACACATCACGGAACAAGTAAAGTACAGGTCCCATCGACAGGTTATTAGTGGCAGATGTGAGTGGAGGATGGGAATGTATGCTCTCGAGGAATCTCACACAAAGCTGGGAAGTAGAGCCTGGAGCATCAGGTCTGATGACAACTCTATTCCCTTAACTAAAGCCAGTCACCAAACAGAACCCTGTGCATCAGAGGTGTCCAATCTTTTGGGCTTCCCTGGAAGAAGAATTGTCTTGAACCACACATAAAATGCACTAACACTAATGTTAGCTGATGAGCTTAAAAAAGAAATCACAACAAAATCTCATAATGTTTTAATACAGTTTACAAATTTGTATTGAACCACATTCAAAGCTGTCCTGGGTCATATGTAGCCTGCAGGCTGTGGGTTGAACAAGCTTGCTCTACAGGCCTCTTTGATGTGTGAATAGGCACTTGCCATCATTCCTACCTGTGTGTGCCCATGAGTGCACGTGTTTTAAAGAGCATTAGCGAGCATCTACACTATGCTCAGGACTATGTTACTCCACTTAAGTGTTATGACTGAAACGTTCTGGTGAAGAAAATGGTGAAAGTGCCGTGTGTAGCAAAGACGTAGGAAGACAGAGAAGCAACTCATCACATATGTGCCTCAGCCAGACTCTCCAGGATTTCCAGAAAATCCATCAACAATGGGAATGGTTTCCCTTGACACCTCTAGCCTGTCTTTTCAAAGAAATTCTGTCCACCCTGAAATATGTACTTGATTCCAGCGAATCAGTTTACCCAGAAAATGTGCACATGAGATTCACTCTCCCTAGACTGCCTGCCGTTGTTTTTTTTTTCTCCTCCACCTCACCCCTTTCTCTTCTATAAATCTTACTTGCAGCTTTTGTAGTAAAAGTAATTGCTGTCTTTTATCTATAACCAATCTTCTGATGATTCACCAGATTTCTCTGTGTGATTCTTTGACATTATTCTGAAAGTGATGGGTCTTCATAAAATTTTGAAATTTGCCAGAGTCAATGTTTACAGAATAGACACTCTCCTTACTTCAAAAATAAATAAATAAATAAGCTGAAAATTAGCAGATCACAACTCACTTTTGTT